CCCCAGATCGTTCGCGCCCGTCGTGGCCCCATGCGCATGCCCATCGTGGCCCCGTTGTCGCCCTTCGTGGCCCCCTTCCTGCCCTTCGTGGCCCCGCTGTCGCCCTTCGTGGCCCCCTCGCTGCCCTTCGTGGCCCCGTTGCTGCCCTCAGTGGCCCCGTCCTTGCCTTCCGCGGCACAGTATCCGTATGCCCTTCGTGGCCCCCGCTCGTTCGCGCTCTGCGTGGCCCCATACGCATTCCCTTCGTGTCCCCGCTGTCTCCCTTCGTGGCCTACTTCGTGTCCTTGTGGCCCTGCTGTCGTTCTCTCTCGCTCTCGCTTTCGCTCGTCGTCGTCGTCGCCGCCGCCGCCGTCGTCGTCGTCGTCGTCGTCGTCGTCGTCGTCGTCGTCGTCGTCGTCGTCGTGGTCGGTCCCCTGTCCGTCCCTCTTGGGGTCGGGTCGACGGTCCGCGGCCGCTCCGCCGATCAGCGTTGCCGCTGGCCAGGCCGACGGTCCGCGGCCGCCCCGCCGCTTGCCGGGGTCCGGTCTGCAGGGAAGAAAGGTATACCCCCCAAAAGGGGTTCGATCGAAGACGAAGAGGGCGGGTATCGAGCGTTTTGGAAGTACGCGTTATTGGACGCTTGAGCAGATAAGGGCGAACAGTCTTAAATTGATTGTTGTTGTTGTTGTTGCTGCTGCTGAGGACGACGGGTTTCAGACGCCCCCCTGGGGAGGAGGGGGGGAGGGCGCATCACATCGCATCGGGGGGGGCGCTGCACCTAATTACGAGATTCCGATGGGATCCCTGGCATTCCTGGATTCCTGGGGATCCGCGTGGATTCTTGGAGAATCCTTGGCATTCGTACGGATCTGTGCAGAGTGTTCTGAATTCGTGGGGGCTCTTGAGGATCCCCCAGGATTCTTGTAGGAGTCCAAAGGATTTCTGAAGGAGACCTCGGTGAACCTGTGGATTCCTGTGGATTCCATCGGGTTCTTGTGAATTCCCAGCGAATTCGGATTCCGATGGATTCCTTGGGATTCCAGAGGATTTTTTGCGGATTCCTCTGGGTTTCAGAGGATCCCGACGGAACCCCAAGGATTCCTCAGGATTCAGAGGGATTCCAACGGATCCTTGGGGACTCCCCAATCTTCTGATAAATCGTGCTTTCGTTCGGGACCTCCTCGCGACTTGCCCTGGCATGGCGCTGTCGCTGTCAACTTCTTTCCCATGTACGCGTTGTCGCCCAAACTTGTCGCTCGAGCCTTCCGCACACTTTACTCAGGAGTCGAGCTCCCGCTCGATAGTTCCTCGCAGTGTACTCTAGAAGTGATTTGTCATTCGCTCGCTCTCTCGCTCTCTTTCTTTCGTTCTTTCTTTCTCTTTCTTTCTTTATTTCTTTCTCTCTCTCTCTCTCTCTCCCAGAATGATTCCTCGCTTGGGACGGTGGTGGTGATGATGCCCTGGTGATGTTGAATCGTGTTGTTGTTGCTGTTGATGGTGACGGGGGTGCTTTCGGTGTTTTCCAGAGCGGGTTGTTCGGCCGTTGCATGTTGTATGTTTGTGGGTTTGCGGGTTCGCAAAACATATTTGTTTAGACGCACGAGTGGTCTCAACTCCCGTCACGCCGTTGCGTGATATGCCACTTTTGGGTAGGTCGGTGGGCTTTTCGGGAACCAGTTCTCAAAATGGTCGTTGTGCCATAGTTTTCTGGTCTGTTTGCAGGTTCTTAGTGCGGCTTGTTTACAAAGGTTCACTTTGTCAGGATTGTTCTATGGAGGTTCTCTGATTCAGGCTTCTTTATGGAGGTTCTTTCACTCTTGATATTTGACTAGGTTCTCTCGCGAAGGATTCTTTACCAAGGTTCTCTCAGGGAGGATTCTTCACGAAAGTTCTCGTAGTGTGGATTATGTTTCAAGTTTCTCTGAGTGAGGACTCCTACGGAGGTTCTCTTAGTGAAGACTCTCGAGCAATATTCCCGCAGTAAGGTTTCTTGATTAAGGTTCTCGCAGTGATGGAGTAATATTCCCGCAGTAAGTTTTTTTTTTTACTGAGGCCCTCTTAGGGAGGACTCTTGAGTAAGAGTCTCGAAGGACGGATTCTTCATTGAGGCTCTCGTAGTAAATATCCTGGAGTAATCTTCTTGTCATAAGTATTCTTTATGGAGGCTCCCTGTGGAAGGACCCTTGAGTGCTATTCCCGTAGTGCGACTCTTTAGTCAGAGTCCCTGAGTAAGGGTTCCTCATGAAAGAGTACGGCTTCTTCTTTCAGGTTTTCGTAGTACGAACTCTTGAGCGAGACTCCCATTGTATGGATTATGTGTTAAGGTCTTCTGAGTAAGGACTCCAGAGTGCCATTGCCGTAGTGATGTTTCTTGACTAAACTTCTCTCAGTAAGGACGCTAGAGTAAGATTCCCGTATTAAGGATCCTTCAGTCAGGTTTTCTCAGAAAGGGCTCTGGAGTAAGAGTCTACTAGTCAGGATTCTTCAATACGATACTCCTAGTGAGGACTCCCGAGTAAGACCCCCGTCGTCAGAATTCATTAGTCGGGTTTTCTGAGTAAGGACCCTGGAGTAACATTCCCGCAGCAGGGCCTCTAGTGATGTTCTCTTAGTGAGGACTCTTGAGTAAGAGTCCGTAGCAAGGTTTTTCTTTTACCAATCTTCTCTTCGTAAGGACTCTTGAGTAATATTCCCATCGGAAGGATTCTTCGTTCAGGTTCTCTCAGTAAGAGCATCTTGAGTAATATTCCCATCGTAAGGATTCGTCATTGAGGTTTTCTTAGTAAGAAGTCTTGAGTACCATCCCCATCGTAAGGATTCTTCAGTCTCTTAGTAAAACAACTCTTTGGGTAATATTCCCATCGTAAGGATTCTTCATTCATGCTCTCTGAGTAAGGACTCTTCAGCAATATTCCATTCGTAAGGCTTCTTTGCGAAAGTTCTCTTAGTAAGGACTTTTGAGTAAGAGTCCCGTAGTAATGCTTCTTTGGTAAGGTGTTGCTAGTAAGGACTCTTGAGTAATAGTCCCGTAGTGCGGTTTCTTCACTGAGGACATTTCAGTAAGGACCCATGAGTAATATCCCGAGGGTGCGAATTCCTTAGTAAGCTTTCCTTAGTGAGGATCCTTGAGTCTATTCCCGTAGTAGCCTCTATTTACTAAGGTGCTCTTCGTAAGGGCTCTTGAGTGAGAGTCCCGCAGTACAAACTCGTCAACCATATGCTTGTAGTGAGGACTCTTGAGTAATACTGCCGTCGTCAGGATTCATTTTTCGGGTTCTCTTAGTGAGGACAATTAAATTTACAGCAGTAAGGCTTTTTGTATTCACGTTCTCTTAGTAAACGCTATGCAGTCAGGATCAGTGAGGATTCTGGACTCAGATTTCCTAGTAAGGATTATGTAGTAAGGGTTTGTCATAAAAAGGGATTCCCGACACAGCTTGTCCTTGTCAGGATTCTTGAGTAAAATGGTTCCTTAGTAGGGTTTTTGCATTATGGGTTTAGTAGATGCCGAGCCTGCGTGGGGGCGACATGGCCTGGGAATTGTCGGCGCTTGTAGGCGCCTTAGCGTCGTCGATGGGATCTGGTGTGTTGCGACGGATCTGGTGCGATGCGATGCTCGCCGAGCTTGCGTGTAGGCGCCTTAGCCTCGTCGCTGGGTCTGGAAGCCAGTGCGATGCGATGTGATGCTTTTTCTTGCTTTCCTCAGAGGGGGCGTCAGAAACCCGGCGTACCTCTTGTGGGGAGCGACGGGGAATCTCGCCCCTGTAGAAGGTTCTCAGAAAACCGGCGTCCCCGTGTTGTTGTTGTTGTTGTTGTTGTTGTTGTTGTTGTTGTTGTTGTTGTTGTTGTTGTTGTTGTTGTTGTTGTTGTTGTTGGGGGTACAACACATGTACAAACATAACAACACCATTTCGCATTACTTTATATACATTTATACAAGCAGCAGTTGTTTTATGCAACATCAGCTGACATTATATAATTAGGTTTATATATGCGGATGTACGTGTATGTAGGTATGCATGCATGCATGCACGTATGCATGTATGTATGTATATATGTATGACATGTATGTATGTATGTATGTATGTATGTATGTATGTATGTATGTATGTATGTATGTGTGTGTGTATGTCTGTCTGGCTGTCTGTCGGTCTTTCTGTCTGTCTGTCTGTCTGTCTGTATGTATGTATGTATGTATTCATGTATCTATTTGCCACGGAAGTAGACTATTCAAACACGAAAAGATGGTTGGCAGTTTTTTTACGAACTACGAACGTTCCTGGCGAACTTCAGGCGAACCTCTGTTGAATTTTGGACAACCATCAGTTTCAACTGGTTTGCCACAAGATCCACGCTACAGTCCTAGGGATCGGGATCGGTTCGAAACTGGGTAGGATCTAGGCCCCCCTAGATGGGGCTGGAGTAGATTGGTTCGGAGGATTGCGCCGCATCGCCGATGCAACGCCGATGCGGCTCGATGTGGAGGCCGTTTTCCCCCCTGCTGGCGTCGCCGATGCGTCGCCGATGTCGCCGACGCGTCGCCAGTGCATCGCCGATGCATCGCCGATGTGTCGGCGAGGCTGCGCGATCCTCGAGGACCCTATCTACTCAGACCCCATCTACGAGGCCTCTATAGGATCGAGTAAGAGAAAACGCCACAAACATTTTTTTTTTGGCGCTCCGCGCGGATTTCGTGGATCCGCGCTGGGCCCCCCCCCAGCGGCGCCTCCAGCGCCGCCCCTGGCGCGCTCCGCGCTCCAGTGAGGTGGTCCAGCGCAGGTCCAAGAAATCCGCGAGGAGCGCCAAAAGTTTATATTCATGGCGTTTTGTTCGTCCACTACAGTTGGGGCGCTGAAGAAGGAACCTTTTCCGTTGGGGAGGGGCTCGGTGTTCCTTGATTGTTTTGCAGTTTGCCTTGGGGGTTCCTAAGCTTTTCCGTGCGAGATCAAAGTTTAACTTACGGGACGAAGGGGCCTCGTTCCTTGATTAGGGTTCCTTAGGTCAACGCCCCGACTGTATAGGAGCACTACCACGAGCTCCCGGAGACCGTCGCCTTCGTGCAGGCCCCCCCCCCCTCCCCGCGCGGCGCCCGCGTCCCGGAGCCCGCGCCCGCGCCCGGAGCGCCCTGCGCGGGCCGCTCCCGGCCGCTCCCCTCCCGCATGGCCAGGCCGAGGCTCGAGGCCGAGGCCGTTTCGGGGAGGGCGCCCGGATGTGAGGTCGGGCATGTCCCTCTGCAGGGGGAGTGTTCGAAGAAGTCCGAAAATAGTATGCGGACGGTGTTGGGTCGAATATCTGTTCGATGTTTTTCGGGGTATTGCGAAGGCCTTGCGGCCGGAGCCGCCGACCCTGAAGACGACGAAGATGAGAACGAGCGGGGGGGGGTAGAGGAGGAGGAGGAGGAGGAGGAGGAGGAGGAGGAGGAGGAGTGGGGAGGCAGAAGGGGAGCAGGAGGAGGGGGGCAGGGGAGGGAGGAGGAGGAGGAGGAGGAGGAGGAGGAGGAGGAGGAGGAGGATGAGGCGTTGTGGCATTCTTCATTTTCCGTCCAAAATCCTCCTGTAGAAGGGCATGCCCGACCTAACCCTAATGTTCTTCGTGCTCATTGGGTGTTCTTCGTGCATCCCGGGGGGAGGGTGCCCTCGAATGCTTAGGCCTCCTAGATGGGGTCCGAGCAGATTGGGGCGGAGGTTCTCGCCTCATCGCCGATGCGTCGGCGATGCGGCTCGATGCGGAGCCCGCTTTTCTCCACGCCGGCGTCCCCGTTGCATCGCCGATGTCGCCGATGCATCGCCAATGCATCGGCGATGTATCGCCGATGTGTCGGCGCGAGCCTCTGCTGGCCCCAGGAAGGCCAAGAGCGTCCCAGATTTTGAATGTCTTCCGGGCTCTCCATCCCGAGGGGGTGAGTACCAGCAGGAGATGCAGCAGCAGGAGTAGCTTGGAGGGCCTCCTTCGCCCTCGACATGGCCCCAGGCTTCGCCGATGACGCGCTCGTCGCGGGGCCTTCTGCTGAGGTACTCCGAGCCCTCAAGCACCTCAAAGCAGTGATGCGAGCGACAGGTTTTCGCTTCTCCACCTTGCAGGTGGTCCCGGCCGCCGGCGCACACAGCACTGTTGGCTTCGCAGAGTTCATGGCCTTAGGGTGCGACATCCTTGCCGACGGGAACTGCGAGGTGCGTAAGTCCCCAGTTGGCGATGCAGCGCATTGCCGGGCCTTCTGCGCCAAGCAGGTGCAGAAGCAACAGGGCATCATCCAGTTCCTGGCAGAGCTCCAGGACCCGCAGGTGACGCACTACTTGTTGGCACACTGTGTGAACGCCGTCAGGATGAATTACCTTGCGCGCACCACGCCTGCGAGGCATCTGGGCGACGAGGCGCGGCGCTATGACAAGAGCGTGCTCGATGCTTCTGCTGCTGCTGCTGCTGCTGCTGCTGCGGTAAACCAGCGCTGGTCCGACAGACAGCGCGAGCAGGCTTCCTTCGCGACCTCGGTGGGCGGAAAATCCCAGTCGAGATGGACGCGGCCTACGTTGGCTCCCGCGCGCTGACGCACGACCTGTGCGCGATGATCCGGCCAGGCCACCAGTGGGACGACGACGTCGCCGGCGCCCCGCTGGCGGACGCGATGTCCAGGATCGAGGCCGCCGCTGGAGCCGAGATCTTCGCGGTCGAGGCACTGCGAGAGCTGACCCAAACGCACCTCGGGGGCGCGCTGCGGAAGAAAGCGGTGGCCGCGTGGAGAGACGCAGGGCCGCCAGCGGACGGAACGAGGCTGAACGCGCACTCCTGCGCGGGGAGCAGGAGCTCTGTGCGAGCTCACCCCTTCCAAAACACTTGACATGCAGCTCACTGCGAGCCAGTTTGCCGACAACGTCGCACTCCGGCTCGGTGTCGATGTCTTGGGGGAGGGGTCCACCTGTCCTGTTTGCGGGGTTGCGCCACCGGATGAGCGCAGGCCGGCCGACGTCCTCGTGATTCAGCGCTTGGCTCTGGCGACGCACTTCCCCGACGGCAGCCGTGCTGTCCTGGCGGAGAAGGTGTGCTTCGACTTCGCGGTCATCAGCGCGCTGGGCCCGGGCCACTGGGCGGACGCCGCGCTGGCCGCCAGGCTCCCGTCCGAGACCTACGACGAAGACAAGCGCAGGCGGGGCCAGACCGAGGAGAGGCGCCGCGCCCAGGGCCTGGCCTTCTGGCCTGTGGTCCTCGAGCAGCAGGGCGGTCCGTCGCAACAGCTGTCGCCAGGAAGGAGGGGCTGGAGCCATCCACACTGCGACGGGAGATGCTCCATCGCGTGGCGATCATCCTCGCCCGCGGCTGCGCCGCGCGGGTGGAGCGTCGGCAGGCGGGCCAGAGCCCGCGCGCAGCGAGCTGCGTGGGCGGTGGCCGCGGCGACCGCCGCGCGCGAGCCGGCGCAGGAGAACGGGGATTGAGGCGCAACGCGGCACGCTCGCCTTGACGGGCTGGCGGCGACGGCATGTCCTGCGTCGTCGTGGCCCCCCCCTCCTCCTCCGCCTCCTTCTCTCTCCGAGCCTGGCCGTTCCGTGCAGTCTCGGCCCCGTCGAGAGGGAAGCCGGCAAGTGTCTTGATGCGCTGACACACCAGTGTGCTTCTCGGCTGGCCTTCTGCCTTTCTTGCCCTGGCCCCGGCCCTTGGCTCCTCCTTCTCCCCTCTCCTCTCCCCTCCCCCTCTCCCTCCCCGTGTCCCCCCTTGCTCTTGTGCTTCCTTGTCCTTGTGCGGTGTGTGTTTTCCCTCTCCCTTCTGCTTGGCTCCCCCTCCCTGTCCCCCGTCCGTCCGTCTGTCGGCCTCGTCTGTCCTTTCCTGTCGTCCTCCCTCCCTCCCCCCCTCCCCCCCTCGCTTTTCGGCTCCTCGCTCTCTTGCCCCTTTCTGCCCCTTGCCTGGCCCGCGTTTCTTTGTCGGCCCGTCCCAGTGTCCGAATAAGAGCCGCGGCGCCCCGCACTGCCACGCTGGCGAGTAGCCCGGCGTGGGGTCTTCGATTGATTCGTCATCTTGGTTCAGTGCTCTGGCGCGGGGGCTGTCGTCGATTCGGCGGTATCCATTCGCATTTGTTGTTCACGCGCCCTCCCACCCTCTCCTCGCGATTCGTCCTGCCGGACGGCGGGGCAAGCACATGTTCCGAAGTTACCCAAGACGCCCAAGTGGGACCGCAGCTGGTGCGGTCGGAGGACAGCGCCGCATCGCCGATGCCCCAGCGACGCGGTGCGATCAGCGTGCGATTTCTGCCATCCCGACGTCGCCGATGCCTCGCCGATGCATCGCCGAAAACGTGCTATGTTTTTGACTTTTTCAGCACGCGACCCCCGGAAGTCAGAAACCCGCTCCCCAGGGCCGGGTTCGTCCTGAGTCTCTCTTGGGCGGTCCAGGGGCCCAGGACAGCGGAAACCCATGCCAAGACGCACCCTGCTTGCCTCCAGGGTGCCCTGGGTTTCTTGGGTTTTGCTGGTTCTGCTACGGAAGACGTGGCGTTCCCACACCAAACATCACTGGACGTCCTGGGGTTCCAGGGCGGGGTTTCTTTTGGAAGGTGTCTTGTGGTCGAGCTCCTACTGGAAGGCCCCCAGAGGCGGAACATGTGGAACATCGCCGTCCTGTTTTTTTTGTTCGGGGCGCTGATGTCACAGTATGCATCGACGATCTCTGGGCGGCCTCCGCAGAGGTCCCGACGAAGTGGGTGGGCGCGCGGGCCTCCGGCGGAGCGCCGCCCAGGCGGGGCGGCAGGACTGGCACGACCCGTTCCCGAAGGACGGCGACGGGGGGGACCCGCCGCGGCCCCTTTGCGCAGCCGCCGCCGCCCTCGGCGTCGGCGTCGGCGTCGGCGGCGTCGTCGTTGAAGACGTCGGGTTCGGCCTGATCGACGACGGCGGCGTCGTCGTCGTCCTGGCGTTTTCCTGGTAGTCGTCGTCGTCGTCGTCCAGGCTCTTCGGACCTCCCGGACTCCTTGGACATGGTTCGGGGGCCCCCAAATTGTGTGGTGATCGCATCGCGTGGTAAATCAACGGGTTTTCGGGGTCACCACTCATATTTTGGGACTTGAGTTGTTCTCCGTCTCTAGCGACTGGGGCCTCCAAGGTCCCAAAACAGTGCGGTGACGGACAGCGCGGTGAGGTCGGTGGAGATTCCGAGGTCACCACGCTGTCCGTCACAACACGGTTTTGGGCTTCAGAACGGTCTGCGTCGTACGGCAATTTCGTGTCGCGTCGACGTGGCGGCGCCCACAGCCTCGACGCCACTTCTGATGCGATGACCGCGTCGACCAGCTCCGCAGACGAGGCCTCTATAGCTCACCATCATCATCAACATCATCATTACCAGCAGCATCATCACCATCCTCCTCCTCCTCCTCGTCATCACCATCATCATCATCATCATCAGCATCATCACATCATCATCATCATCGCGTCGTCGTCGTTTTCGTCATGACCGACATCACCGCCGTCATCTGCATCAAGAACCATCATCGCCACCAGCATCAGCATCATTACCGCCTTCTTCGTCGTCTTCTTCGTCTTCTTCATCTTCTTCATGACCATCATCATCACCACCATCAGCATCATAATCGTCATCATCGTCATCGACGCCATCATCTTCATCACCATTATCATCATCAACATCATCATCATTCTCTTCACCATTGTCAACATCATCATTATCATTGCCGTCATTATAATGACCACCACCACCATCATCATCATCATCATCATCATTTCAATCACCACCATCATCCCCACCATCATCAGCATCATCGTCATCATCACCATCATCGTCATCACCACCAGCATCATCATCGTCATCATCATCGACCGCATCATCATCATCATCACCACCAGTATCATCATTATCGTCCTCACCACCATCACCATCATCATCATCATCATCACCATCATTATCATTATTACATTCACCACCACCATCACACCCACCACCATCACCATCATCATCGTCGTCATCATCATCCTCATCTTAAGCGTCGTCATCATCATGATCATCATCATTACCATCATCACCACCAGCATCGTCATCATCATAATGAAGAGCATCGTCGTCATCACCATCGCACTTATCATCATCACCAGCATATCATCAGCATCATGGTCATCATCATCAACATCAACATCATCATCATCATCATCATCATCATCATCGCCATCATCATACTCATTATCATCACCATCATCACCATCATCACCATCATCATCATCATCATCATCATCATCATCATCATTCGCATCATCACCATTCGCATCATCGCCATCATCATCAGCATCATCATCACCATCGTCATCATCATGATCATCATCATCATGATCATCATCATCATCATCATCATCATCATCATCATCATCATCATCATCATCATCATTGTCATCATCATCATCATCATCATCAGCATCATCATCATCACTATCGTCATCATCATCATCATCATCATCATCATCATCATCATCATCATCACAGGGAAGGGGCGCGCGAAAACACTGAAGACACATGTGGAGCCCGTACCCCCCACCCTTTTTTGTTGGTCATCGGGTTGGGTTGGGTTGGGTTGGCCTGGCGGGTAGGCAATAGCTGCTGCTGCTCTTGCCCTTTCCTCCTGCCGCGCCCCTGCCCGCATTTCCTCTGACCTTGCGCGCACGGGGGCAGCGCCCAGTTGGGCCTTTTGAAGAGGTGGAGGCTTTCTTGGAAGGCAGCTGGCCTCCCCAGAGGGGCCCCGAGGCTCCCAAGGAACGTTCTCGGAAGCCAGGAGGGAACCCAAGAGGGGCCTTTGCTTCCTTCCTGCCCCCCTCCCCCGCTTCCCCGGCCCTGCCCCTCTCCGCGGCAGAGGGGCCCCGAGGCCCCCAAAGGCCTCTCAGAAACGGAGAGGGCTCCTGAAGGAAGGCCCCCCACCTCTTCGTGCTCCCTTCCCCCCGACGGCACGGAAGCACGAAAGCCGCAACGAGGCACTGAACTTTAAAGGCGAGGAGGACTTGGCGGAGGAGCCCCCTCCCTGGCCCCGCCGGCAGCGCCAGCCCCATGGAGGGCGGGCGGTGGAGCCGAGAACTCCCGCGACGGGCGCAGTGCCGCTGGAGCTCGTGGCCCTGGGATCGTCTGAACCACCAGGGATGGCAGGCACCACGGGGTACGGACCTTCTCCTCCTCCTCCTCCCTCCTCCTCCCTCCTCCTCCTCGTTCCTCCTCCTCCCCCTCCTCCTCCTCCTTCTCCTTCCCTCCCCGCATGGGAGGCCCCCCCCCCCCTGGCATTGAGGTTGCACTCCGCCGCGCACGCTGTTGTACACCAGGCCTGGTTCAAAGATGAGGGCAGGGGGAGGGGGGTGAGTGCGCCCTCCCTCCCTCCCTCCCTCCCTCCCTCCCTCTCTCCCTCATGCCCTCCTTCCCTTCCGTCCTCCCTCGCTCCCTCCTCCTATTCCTCCTCCTTCTCAGCCTCCTGCTCCTCTTCCTAATCCTGCTCCCCCCTCCTCCCCCTCCTCATCCTCCTCTCGGTACGGAGCACGGGGGGGCATCACGAGTAGCGAAAGTATCCATGGTCAAGCCCTCGCGGTCTGGATTCAAGGGCGCGCGGTTCCGCGGATATGCGCGGTCGCACGGATACGTTCTGCGCGGGGCATCCGCGCAAAAACGCCCCGTTTCCGCGGTGTCGAGGCCCATGGGCGGGGCCCGCGAGTCCGTGGATACACGTATTTCTTTCGCCCACGGGGGATTGTCTGAGCGATCGAAATGACAACGGAAACAGTGGTGACGAAGGGAGATCGACAGCAGCTTCTGTCCGTTTCAGAAAGAGCTCGCTGTCGGTGACGCCGCGGACGGCGTTACTTTGAGACAATCAGCCGCCCGACCAACAACGGCCGCTGTCGGATTTGACAACATTTGCTGTTGGACATTGTGCCCATTCTTCCGTATCCACGTTGGGCGTGCCGAGATTCAGCACGGTCATCCGTGCACGGATCATAGAGCATAGAGAGGGCAACTGGTGCGGGTCACGGGGGGTTTGTTGGAAAGGGTCACATCTCGACCGACCCGTCCGTAGCATGAGTGCCGCCAGGCAAACCGCCACGGTTCAGGTTTTCTGAACACAGGCAGCCTTGAATGCGCCTGGACTCAGGAGTCGACGGAAGGGGAAACCATAGCCAGGGAATAATGAGGCAGGAGGAGGAGCAGGATGAGGAGGAGGAGGGAGGGAGGAGGAGGGAGAGGAGGAGGAGGAGGAGGAGGAGGAGGAGGAGGCGAGGAGGAGGAGGAGGAGGAGGAGGAGGAGGAGGAAGGGACGGAGGACGAGCTGAGGAGGAGGGGAATGAATGGGCGGGGAAAGGGGAGGGGAAGGGGGAGTGGAACGGGTATAGGAATGATGAGGGGGAGGAGGAGGAGTGGGACATGAAGTGGTGGAATGAGAGGATGATGACAGGCAGGACTACGATGGTGTCGTTGTTAATGCCAAGGAGTTGAAGATGTTGGATATGACTAGCGATGCTGTTGTTGATGACGGCGATGACGTTGACAATGATGAAGATGATCGGAGACGACGCCGCCGATGATGATGGTGATGATGATGATGGTGGTGATGATGCTGCTGCTGATGAGGATGCTGATGATGCTGATGCTGATGTTGGTGCTGATGATGCTGGCGATGCTGATGATGATGACGACGACGACTTTGATGATGATGATCATTGTGGTGATGATGCTGATGACGACGACGACGACGACGACGATATTGAATGGTGAGGATGAAGATGACGATGACGACGACGAAATATTGATGCTGATTCTGATGCTGCTGATGATATGGATGAGGATCCTACTGCTGATGATGCTGATGAGGCTGATGATGTCGATCATGATGATGATGCTGGTGATGGTGGTGATGCTGATGATGATGCTGCCGCTGCTGCTGATAATAAGGATGATGCTGATGATGATGATGCTGATTCTGATGATGGTGCTGATGATGGTGGTGATGATGCTGGTAATGATACTGGTGATGATGATGATGATGATGCTGATGATGATGATGATGATGATGATGATGATGATGATGATGCTGATGATGATGATGATGATGCTGATGATGATGATGTTGGGGACGATGCTGATGCTGATGATGATGCTGATGCTAATGATGATGATGCTGCTGATGATGACGATGATGATGTTGATGCTGCTGCTGCTGATGATGATGATGATGGTGATGGTGACTGCGATGGCGATGATGCTGATGATGATGATGCTGATGATGCTGTTGATGTTGATGCTGATAATGCTGATGCTGAAGATGATGATGTTGATGATAGTGATGATGATGCTGATGACGGTGATGTTGATGATGATGATCATGGTGATGATGCTGATGATGATGATCATGATGATGATGCTTATGCTGATGCTGACGCTTCTGATGATGATCATGATGCTGATGATATGCTGGTGATGATGATGATGACGAAGCTGAATAATAATACGAAGATGATGATGATGATGCAGATGATGATGACGATGATGATGACGATGATGATGATGTTGATGATGAGGATGATGATGATGATGACGATGATGATGATGCTGATGCTGCTGCTGATGATGATGGTGCTGATGATGATGATGATGATGATGATGCTGATGCTGATGATGATGCTGATGATGCTGCTGCTGCTGATG